TTCTTTGGAATGTACATGATTGTACTACTTATTAAAAGTGAGAGTCTGGCTAAGAATACACCTTAGCGTTGAAATCCACACGAATTCAGGGTTTAAGATTAGAGATGTGTATGCTAATAAGGTGGATATGCTTTTCCAGAGTAATTTTTAAAGTGTGTATGGGCTGGTGTTGTCTTCTTGACACAAACTGGCATCACCTGAAAAGAGGGAGGGTGTCTCAATTAAGGAATTGTTCAGATTGGCCTCTCTGTAGATTATGATGTCCCAACATGCTAAGGTGCCATCTCTAGGCGGTTGGATGTAGGCTCTATAGGAATGCTAGCTGAGCATGAACCAGAGAAATCTGTTTTCTCCTTCAGTTTTGCTTTTACTGGCTCCCTTGGATAATAGACCTGTAAGCTGAAATAAACACTTTCCTCTCTAAGTTGCTTTGGGTAGTGGTGTTGGTCATAGCAACAAAAAGCAAAGCGTGTGTCTAATTCTGTGTGTGTGTGTGTGTGTGTGTGTGTGTGTGTGTGTGTGTGTGTGTGTGTGTGTGTGTCTGTGTATGTCTGTTTTTGCCATGTAGGGTCTGGAGATCAAACTCTGGTCATCATTAGGTTTGGCAGGAAATATCCTTTGCCTCTGATATATCTCACTTGCCCATGCTTATGTTTTTTTATTATATAAAGAAGAAATAAATCTTGCCTTCATATTTGCTAATGTAGATCTTTAGTGTTTTTCAGAGTTAAGTTTGATTTTTATAATTGTTTATGCTGAAAATATCATTTTACATATATAAATAGTACAAATGCTAACAGTATTTAGCCATCTGATAAAGTATTCTAAATTCTCACTTGATCCCAAGCCAAAATTTATTAAGTGATTTTTTTTTTTTTAATGAAACTCAAGTCAGAAACACAAACAGCAGTTGGGAGAGGGGGTACATGTACAGTCACAGGTGTGTGTGTGCATGTGCATGCATGTTGAGGCCAGAAGTTGACATTGGGTGTCTTCCTTATCACCCCCCACTTTGTTATTTTGAGATGGGCTTTCATTGAACCTGGAGCTCCCCATTCACCTAGACTGGCTAGCCTTTAAAATCCCTGGGATCCTACTGTCTCTGCCTCCCCAATGCTGAGATCACAGCTTTATAATGTGGGTTTGAGGATGGAACTGAGGTCCCATGCTCATGCATCAGTACTTTACCAACTAAATCATACTAGCTTGATTTATCAGACCTTCTAAATCAGTGCAGTCCAGAGATAAGCTAATTTGGTAGTTACATTCTAATTAATAACAATATTTTTAAGGTCTGTTTTCTGTAATTAAACCATTGTGTTTTTGTATTGCTGTAAACTGTACAGTAAAACAAAACAATACTGCAGTTCATTTCATATAGTCCTCTCAAATCTGAGTTGGGGTGTTTCAAGCAGTGACTGTTGCATAGCATGAGGTCGTGCACAGGAGGGTACATGCACATTGCATGTTTTAAAAGGCTGTAGTAAAGTCACCTGATGCATTATTGGTGAGCCTCGGGTTTGTTATATGTTTGATTTTGGAGTCAGTCTTGGTTGTGTTCCATTCAGAAACCCTGTGCTGCTACCAGTTTCTTCCCATCTACCCCATTCAGCCACAGGACTTGTGCAGTTCTAAGTAGTGTCCTTTGTCATCTCAGGACATTTTAACCCTTACATATGTGCCCTTTGGTTCTAGCCTATTCTGCTGCTTTCATTTGTTACTCAGCTATGGTATTCTTTCTTCCACCCTCCCCAGATTTTCCAACTACATTTCCTATGAGAACTCCCTAAACATCTTTCTCGGAATTATTGATACTGCAAAACCATATGTAAAATTGAAGGAACTTAATAATTGAAAATCTTCAGTTTTACCAAACTAATTAGTAAATACTCCTTCAAAGGTGTGGTCAGACATACAGCAGCAGCCCTGGTAGTTGACTTAAGAATGAAAGTGTTCTGGTTAATTTACCCTAGACCTATTGAATAGCACTTTGACTTTCCAAGCGATTCTAAAGCCAGCTCAGGTTAGGTAGACAAACTGCTTTACACTGTACAATAAGTCAAAGCAGACAGATTGGCCCACAATGTATTTCTTGTTGAGACTCTGTCTAGGAAAGGTTTCAAAGAAACAAATCTGAAGTACAAGTAATATTTAAAGAATTTTAAAATTTTCTAATAGTAATTAATGATTATTGAGTCATTTTATATGCCAGACTATTCTGGAAATCTTATCTCCCTTTTATAAAGTTTGCAATGGTGAATTAAATGTGTTGGTTATCATACTTTATCAAAACCAGCATTTTAATGAATGCAACTAATTGTAATGCTGACTATAGTTTTGATAGGAATAAAGTCTCTGCTTAAATGTCTTTAATGAAGCTGGGTAGACTTTTCTGGATATTGACCTTTTGCAAAGTACAAAGCCAAGTTTTGTTCTGTTTTATGTTGCATATCTATTGTGTGTGGTGATTTTTTAAGATACTATAACTTTATATGTGACTTTTAATTTGCACATATTAACATAAATATCTGGTACAGTGTGACATTTTTATCCATATATACATATCTCTGTGTGTCCATGTATGTACACACATAAAATATGCAATGACCAGGTCAGGCTGAATATACCATTTATGTAGGCACTAAGTTTTTAGTTATTTTCATAAAACATTCTTCATTGAACTTTAAAGCATTCCATGTTATTTCAGGCTTTAAGAACATTAGGTAAATAAAAATTGACACTTAGTTATGATACAGAGACATTCTCTAATAATTATTAGTTTTCATGTAAAAACTTTGTAAATATGTTTCTCAGTAATTGTCACAAAAGGAAGTGCTTTGTGTGAGAAGTAGGTATTCTAGACACATGGTAGCATCTTATAATTCAGCTTAGCCCTGTTCCTTTCTTTGTAGTCAACTGTTGTTTCAGTAAAAAAATAAAATATATGTGTGTGTGTGTGTGTGTGTGTGTGTGTGTGTACATATACATATATGTATGTGTATATATATTTGCATTTCTTTACACACACACACACACACATACATATTTGCATTTCTTTTCTGCCAGTGCTTCTTTGGCTGTTTAAATCGATATCCTTTAAGTTTGATTTTCATATAATACTTCATATCAAGGTTCTATAGATACCTTAAAGTATATCTTTTCAGATAACAGATTTCTGAGCAGAGAAAACAGTCAGATATGCAAGATGTGATTATTGACAGGGATGATAAATCTGTAAGCAGTCCTTTTTGCCTTTTCCATTGCTCTGTTTTACACTTAAATTTTTTGGCTTGGCAGTATACTCATATAACATGAAAGAAAGTGTGAAAAGACATAATAGTCTCCTTCCTGTGCATTTCTCAGATTTGCAACCTTTGGTACTAGATTTCTTGGAAATATATTTTATGTATATGTACAAACAGACATGTTTTAGACCCCTTTAATGTTAATAATAGAACACTTTTGTGTTTTCTTTTTACATTTAATGAGAATTTTTGATATGGTGCCATATTACTATATTCAAGACAGAGCTTCCTTACTTGCTTTTTGTCTTAACATATTTGATTGTAGGAAACAAATTTATCTAGTCCCATCAATAGGCTGTTTTTTATTGATTGTGGACTTTTGATATTATGAGCATATTGCAATAAAGAGCTTTATGCATGCATTATTTCATGTATATACTAGTTTTATATTGAAGCACATGTGTAGAAATGTAAGATAGGTGGATTTGTAACTGCCAGCGCTCAACCCCTGTTTGGTAATGTTGTTTCTGAGCCCACACCACTCTATAAAGTCTGGCTTCTGGGTCCTGTGCCATGAGTGCTGGGGTTGCAGGCAGAAGGAAACCTGGATGGTTTACATATGTGTATGTTTTGAGATTTTTATCACTGCGAGAAAAGTTACCATAAGCATGTGAAATTTTACTTAGGCATTGTGCCAGTATGTGGCATGATTTTTCTTAAAAGAAAAAAAAAGTGTATTCCTATATTCACTCTATAATTTAGCTTCCCCCCCCAGTAAAAAAAAAAAAAAACATCTCCCATGTAAGTGCCTGTGTAAAACTATTTAAACTAGTATTATAACAATGTGGCAAGATTCTTGTGTTAGAAATCTGTGGGCGTTTTTTTTTTTTTGTTTTTTGGGGTTTTTTTTTTTTTAAGTACAGTCATGAAAATTCTTAATTACTTGAGTATCAGCTATAAAAATAAACTGGTAAACAAATTAAATTGCTACCAGACTTTTTTTTATTTCATTTGTATTTAATAATTTGAGTCCTAAAATCAAAGTGCTTTCAGTATGTCTTTAATCTATCAAAAAAGTAATCTGCTTTGAAATTAACTTTTAGAAATGTAGTTGAGTAGAATCTAAACAATTCACAATGCCAACTTTCAGTTCTTCTGAAAGCAGGAAGTATATTACTGACAAGCAGAAATATTCCAGCCCAAAGAACATCCCTACTGCCATATGTGGTAAGAATTTGTCACTAACCCACAAACCACTTCTGTAATGCAGTGAATAAGCAGAATTAGTCTTTGTTGAACATTTCCAATCTAGTATGAAAGAACTTTGTTTTGTAGTGTTTTACAAGTAATTATTAGTGGATGCCTTGGAAAGAGCCTGCAGAGAGCATCATGGCTGTCCCTAGGTTACTGAGAAAAGAAACCTGTACATAATTCTTGAGTTATGATTTTAAAACTTGCTTAACAAGACCCTGTATTAAACACAAATTCTCAGCTTACTGATATCTTTAAATACTTATAATTGTTCCCTTTGCTGTTCATTTGGAATAAACATTAATCTTAAATTGCATTTATTCTAAAAAGAAATTATTCTTAGGGTCAATTTTTAAGGGATAGGGAAATTAACAGCTTAGAGGAATAGAATTAGTTGTGAGGAATTGGGTAACAGAATTTGTTGAAGAGCTCTTTGTAAATCATTAACATTTTGAAAATATCGATGTTTCTCTAAACTTGAATTTTATTTTCTTGTATTTTAAGCGATTAAGAAGATTGTCAACCAAATATAGAACAGAAAAGATTTACCCCACAGCCACTGGAGAAAAAGAAGAGAATGTTAAAAAGAACAGATATAAGGACATACTGCCATGTAAGTTTGAAATGCCCTTGATAGACTAAATAGAAATGCTGTATAGCTCTTGTAACCCCACTAGTTTTTGTTTCTGAATAAGGAGGTAGTGTCAGTCCTTCCAAGGTACACTACACAATAATTTGTAATTACTTCTTAGAAGCCTCCCCCTTTCTTAAAGTAATGTAGTCAATTGGGATAGTTTCTTAAAATAGTAAAACGCTGTTATCTAATCACAGAAGAACCTTAATTGATTAACTATGGATGAAAAGCGGGCCATAAGGTGCTTCAGAAACCTGTGTCTGCTTTCCTCATCAGTCAGTCTGTGTGTTTAAGCATGTTCAAAGTTGAAAACATTGTATTCTCATTATGAATTTATGTTAATATTGTTTTCTAGATAAGTTTCTTTAAACACATGCTTAACTGAGAGTCCACATTTTATAAAAGAAATTTTTGCCTTAGATCTGCTTTTCCTTTTTAAATCTACCATAGTGTTTCCCTTCATATATCTTCAACTGTCTACATTCCATAGCACCATTTCCTTAAGTGTCATTATTAAAGCTTCTCTCTAATATCTTCATGCTCCCAGTAACCTCACTAGATCCCGAGCTCTTTTTTCCTGGTTGGTTGGTTTGTTTGTTTGTTTGTTTGTTTGTTTGATTTCCTATTAAGTGTTTTTATGCCCTTGACCAGTCCCATTTTCTGAAACTTTCTTCTTCCATGATAACACTCTTTCAGATCATTTCCTCTTTTTCTTATCTTCCCTGTGTCCCTCACTGAGTTCTTGTGTTCATGTGTATCTATCTGTGTTTTGTATTGAGGACAGGATAGAAGTCAGCCTCTGGTTTAGTGGTTCAGGAGTCATTTCTGTTTTTGTTTTTCTTTCTCTGAGATTTGGTATCTCACTGTGACTAGGGCTTTCCAATTGGGCTAGATTATTACCTAGCCAGAAAGCCTCAGGGATCTGCCTTTGTCCACTTTTCTAGTGCTGGTGTTACAAGTACCACTCATGTATGTGCATGGTGGGGATTGAACTCAGGTCTTCAGGCTTGCACAGCAAGTACTTTACTGACTGAGCTATCTCTCCAACCCTCCTCACTGGTTTCTTTGCCTAAATTTAATCCTACTTACTGTTAACTGTTCTATATTACTTTTATCTGTGGATTGTGTGGTTAGATAGTATTAATACAATTAACAAGGAATAGCACAGAATAATAGTGATGAGTTAGCCTGGAAACTCATATCTGGACATCATCAGTTGGTAGCTATAAGACCCAGAACTGGTGTTCACTGTGTCTAGCTTTTCTCATCTGTAAATTGGAGTTAGTGTGATAATACTGCTAAGGACAGTTTTGAGTATGATAGGTCAGACATCTACTAATGTAGCACAGTAACCACTCAAGGCTTTTGCTTAAATACACTCCACTTTCCTTAGTAGTTGCTTTAATCTGTTCAGGTTGTCATAACAAAAATGCCGTAAATTTGGTAGCTTATAAGCAGAAGTACATTGAGAGAAGTCCAAGATTGGGGCATCAGAAGCTTTGGTATGTGATGAGGATTCACACTCTCTGATTCATAGTTGGTACTTTCGTGCTGTGTCCTCATGTAGAACAAGAAGCAAACAAGTTTCCTTGGGCCTCTATTACAGTGACAGTTTTTACATTCATCAGAACATGCTCTCCTCAATTCCTGAAGGCTCATCTTGTTATTATCATTGCATTGGGAATTCAGTTTCAGCATATCAATTTCAGGGGAATACAGACAGTCTGAGCATTAATCCACCTCAGAATTGGAGTTGATATGGATTTCTGAATACTTAATTAAACATAATCTTCACAAGACCTTTCAGTACTGTCCACTGATTTCTTTGTATTTTGGAGAAGTCAGTCTTAACTGGCTCCAGGTTTCTGTTTACACATTCATTTTACAAAAAGTTGTGAGCATAATTTATGTGCTGATGATGCAGAAAGTGAACCTGCAAAAATCCCTCCTTTTGTATTTCATGTTCTAGCCTAGGTGTTAGGCAGTGAATACAAAGTCACACAAGCTCTATCTTGTGGTGACTAGTGCTAATGGGGTGATGTAGAAAGGGTAAGGGCCATTGAGAAAGCTAGGAATACAAGGGGGAAAAGTGAAGGTTAGTTGTATGCTAGTAAATTGGTTGCTGATTTCTGTGATAGTTTTTTCCCTCATAAATCACATTTACAGATGGGAAACTGAGTCTGATGGGAAACTGAGTCTGGAGGAGTTAAGTAACTTATCACAGTGCTCATGTCGTGAAAAGTACTTTGTATCCAAAGCCTTGATGTTCAGAGAGGATGGTTATGGTGCTCAAGTACATTTGGCAGGAGGTGTTTGGTTGTCTTGCTACTACCAGCCTCTAGTAAGCAGACTCGAGGGGTACTGCTGCCCAGCCTTCAGTGCACAGCGTATGCTCCCCCTGCAGTGGAAACTTGTCTAGGCCAAAGTTGAGAACCCTTCTTTAGAGTGCCAGTTCTTGATGACCTCAGTGGTCATCAGGACAGGAGGACCTGGTCTTCCTTCAACTATTGAAAGGTTTCACAAGAAGAATTCTAATCAGTTTCTGTTTATTTAAATTTGACATCTTATATTGAAAGCAGTTGTACTTACATAGTTTTCAGAAAAACAATTGGTTTGTTTCATTGGAATGTTTAACATGCCCATTGTTTGTAGAAACACAAAGTGTATAAATTATTTTTAAATAAATTTATGTCGTACAGAAACCAGACCAGTTCAGTTTTAGGGCATTTTGTTACTTCCAACAGTTCTGTATTCTTTAGTTCCAGGCAATTGTCAGTATGCTTTCTGATTCTAGATTTTGTTTTTCTAGAAATTTGACATAAACATCATATAATATGTGATCTGTTGTGCCTGACTTCATTAACTTAGCACATTTTTTGTTATATTTGTGTTAATTTTAATATTAGTACTTATATTACATTTTGCTTATTTGATGTATATTCTAAGTGATGTCACTAAAAAGTTTCTGAATAAGGCTTTTGTTAAAATATAATTTTATTGTTCTTGGGTGCCTATGTAGAAATATAGTTGTAGACCTACAGAAATTTGTATTTAATCTTTTTTGTTTTATGAGGCAGCAAGGCTGCCTTCAGAATTCTTCATCCTCCTGCCTCAGCCTTGTGATGCTGGTATTATAGGCATGTACCACATAGAAACTGAGATAAACTGTATTCCAAAGTCATTATTTTATATTCCCAACAGTGGTATATGAGGACCAGTTTTCCACATTCCTACCAACACTTGCAACAATTGGGTTTCACTTTTTTGAGACAAGCAACTGCCTTCAAGTATTCTCCTGCCTCAGCCTCCTGAGCAGGTAGAGTTACAGGTTTGAACCACTGAATTTACTTGCAGGTTTTTTTGTTTGTTTGTTTTTGTTTTCTCCATGTGTTTGGGTCTCTTGCATGAATGTGTGCACCTATTCACATGTGCCTGTGGAGGCCTGAGGTTGATAGTTTTCCTCAGTTGCTCTTCAGATTGAGGCAAAGTCTTCATCAAATTCAAATTAGCCTCACTGTCTGGCTTGCTCGGGCTGTCTGCCTTTGAGGCTGGGTCTGTAGTAGGCCACCACTGCAGTTCTTTACCCACTAAGACAGTTTTCTGGGTTATAGTGTTTCTGATTTATAGCTTTTCATATGCTGTTAGCCAATTTTGGATATTTTCTTTGCTGAAAAGTCTTTTCAGCAAAAGTTATTTAAACAAAACTTTTTTTTTTAAATCTTACTATGTTAAAAGAATTATTTTTGTTGTTGCTTCTTGGTTAAGATAGAGATCTTACACTGTCTTTAGCCTCCCAAGTCCTAGGATTACAGTTGTGGGCCATAGTGTCCAGCAAGAGTTCTTAATATGTCCTGGATACTAGAGACTGGTTTGTTTGTTTGTTTTTGTTATATTAGAATAAGAGGTATATACCTATGTTTTTCTTGTTTGTAAGGGCTAAATAAAGTAGAGAGAGCCTTTGGATTTGGTGATTTGGGATATTCCACCATGCATATTCTTAAACCTTTTTTTGTCCTGGAAAATTTTTTGAGAGAGAGAAAGTAATCCCCAGCCTGCACGTAGACAAAATACTTGTCACCTAATGATCTTAACTATCAGTTTGAAACTTTAGAACTTTATATAAAATGTGAACCAATGAAAACTAAGTTAGTCATTACAGTTGCCCCTGTAATATTTTAGTAAGTTTAATATAGCTGTTGCCATTTCCAGTTCATCTTTTTTATGTTAATTGGTCTTCATATTCGTTGTCTATGGATTAGAAAGTCATAATGTGATAGTTACAGTTTATGTGTTATGACCCTTTCTAATCAAAAGGAAGTAAGTATTGGGCATTTCTAATACCTTAACAGCTCGGTGTCTAAGATTCCTTTCAATTACAAATAGTAAGATGTATGTACTTCATGAATTACCCTGCCTTCAACCATGATGTTATACATTAAGAACAAACATAATTCTATGATAGCCTCTTGTTTTCTTTATTGATATGTGTGAGCATGTACACACATTTGTGCCTTGTGAGTTTATATATATTACATGCAGGCAGGTCCCAGAGGAAGGCATGGAGCTGGAGTTACAGGTAGTTGTGAGCCATCTGATGGGGCCTTGGGAATCACACTGAAATACTCTAAAGAGTTGCTTTTAACTCCTAAGCCATTGCTCCAGCCCTCAGTCCTGTGCTATTATTCCCAAAAATAGATAATTGCCTCCCAGTCTTAGGTAAAATTAGAGAAACTTATAATTGGAAGAAAAAAAATCTATATGTAATCTTGAAAAATGAAAAACATTAGGAAAATGGTTGAAATTGTTATTTAATAGTTTTATAACAGAATTTTCGGGCTGTGGTTATAGAAGATACTAGTATTAAGCAAGGCATGGAGATGTTCCTGTAATCCCAACATTTAGGCTGAGTGCAAACAGTCATGAGTTCAAAGCCATTCTGAACTATATAGCAAGATCCTGATTCAAATATTCCCACCCTCCAAAACAGCTGTTACTACTATAGAGGAAGCTCAGTGGCAAGTAGTTGTAACACTACACTATTTTTCCTACCTTTGTTTGAATCTGTTCTAAATGTTCATTTAATTTTTTAGGTTAATGAGATTGTGGGGGGTTTTGTTGTTGTTTTTAAATAGGGTCCCTATGTAGCTTTGGCTGGCCTAAAACTTGTTATGTAGACCATGCTGACCTCAAACTCACAAAGATCCTCCTGCCTCTTTCCCAAAATTCTAGGAATAAAGGCTCACAAGTTGACTCCATGAGTCTGATGACCTAAGTTCAGTTTCCAGAGTTCACGTGGTAGAAAGTGAGAGACAACTGCTTCAATTTGCCCTTTGATAACCTCCATGTGACACACACATCCCATCCATCAGCATCTCCTGCCACCTCCTATAAAAGTGAATAAATAATGTTGGCTGGGTGTGGTGGCATACACCTTTAATCCCAGCACTCTTGTGAATTCAAGGCCAGTCTGGTCTACAGAGCAAGTTCCAGGGCAGCCAGGGAACACAGAGAAACACTGTCTTGAAACACACACACACACACACACACACACACATGCACGCGTGCGCGCGCGCATGTGTGTGTGTGTGTGTGTGTGTGTGTGTGTGTGTGTGTAATGAATAAAGGTTTACATAACTCAATTAATAATAATGCAAATGAAGATAAAATTTTCCTGATATTGGAAGGTAAAGGAAAGATTGTGTTTTTTCTTTACATGTCTAATTTTTGTTCAATCCTGTCATACTTTGGTATTGGTATTTTAATTAATTAATCATAATTATTTAATTTTCATAATTTCTTGTGCAACATGAAAAGGTAGATTCTTAAGAACTGTGTAAGTAATTAAAAGATTGTGAGGTTTGGACTGGGGAGATGGCTCAGTGGTAAAAAACACTGCTCTTCCAGAACACTGGGTCCAGTTCCCCGGCACCCACATTGCTGTCAGTGCACAGTTACACTGGGTCTGAAGCCTTATGACTTCTGTGTGTACTGCATACACAGACATACATGCAGGCAAAACACCCATACATAGAAAGTTTTGTTTTGTCTTGTAAGACAGAATCTCTGTGTAACTCTGAGATGGAACTTGTAGACCAGGTTGCCTGGAACTCAAATATCCATCTGCCTTTACTTATGAAGTGCCGGGATTAAAGACAAAATTTAAATTAGAAAACAAAAGCTCTGAGTCAGTGCCTAATGTTTTATATTTTTAAAGTGCAGAGATAATTTTGGTTGCAAGCTTTAGTATATTTATTACATTTTTTTCCCTTGCTTTTCTCAGAGGTTTACGTTTTGTTACCTAAATTTTGACTTTCTATTTTCTAAAGTAAATGTTGTGATATATTTGTAATCCAGCACTTGGTGGCTGAAAGCAGTTCAATGCCTTTGTGAGCTACATTATGAGGCTCTGCCACAAAAAGCCAGAAAGAGGAAGTGCTTCGATGACACCTGGACATAAATTATGAAAATCTTTTCTCTTGTAGTTGACCATAGCCGAGTTAAATTGACTTTGAAGACTCCATCTCAAGACTCAGACTATATCAATGCAAATTTTATTAAGGTATGTATTAAAATGAAGGGACTTTTCCTTGCTATACTTAATGCCTTCTTTTATACCAATTTTATTGAAGGTATTAACTGTCCAAAATGTACTAATAAGAAAATAAATTAGAATAAAACCCGGCCTTGTATATCTTGTGCTTTCCTTCAAGGCGCCTAAGCCATATACAGATCAAAGTGTATATATGTGTGTATGTTAGAGCAGAGAGACTTTTCTGGGTGCTGCTTTTACATTGAAGGCTTATAAATATTACCAGTAAATTGTCCCTTGGCCTTAGGTATGCCTATACATTTCTTGAAGTAGTTCCAGTTTTTCTTGTTAATGAAATTACAATAAACACTGTTCTTTTGAACAGTTTAAGATAAATTAATAGTGCAAAAATTACTAGATAATACTGTTTTAAATTCATAAGCTATAACTGAAATTTTAAAAATCTTTGGCAACTATTACTATTTGTGGTGACATATACTTATAATCCCAACATTCTGGAGGCTGGGGCCAGAGGATTGCAGTAAATTCAAAGTCAGCCTAAGCTAAAGAATTGATAAATAACTAAATAAAAATTGAATAATGAAGTGGTAGTCATCCTGTTAGATAACTTTAGTCAGCCTTGAATCAAAAGTATTAAAATGGTAGGCTGGTGGGTGGTTGCTTGGTTTAAGACACTGTTTCTTCTTGTGGCCCAGGCTGGCTTGGAACTGGAGATTTCTTGCCTTAGCTTACCTGGTGAAAGATTGTAGACTTGCTCTACTGTGCCCTGCCTGTTGTGTTTACATTCTTACGAGGAAAGAGATGCAGATTCCTGTGTGACTGAGTTTAAATAAAGGCTAAAATTTGTTTCATAGGTTATTTTGTGCTTTTGACTCTAGTTATACAACTATTATAGCTTTTCAACAATTTTATATTGGCGGTCATAAATATTTTAGTAAGTATTTTGTTGATAATAAATGTTAGATAATCAAAGTAGTAAAAATTAATATTGTCTGTGTATTGAACAAATACGGTTTCAAGTAAAGAATCTTCTTAACAAAATGAACTTAGTGTAGTAAGACACAAAATTAATAGATTAAACAAGAATAGGTATTGTATTTCAGATATTGTCAATCTGTAGATTATATATGTGTGGTAAGATTTGTAATTTTAAGCTATACTGAGGGCACTGATTCAAATGTATGTCAGTCCATTTACTTTAGTCAGCTGGCTGTATTGTTTGATCTATTAACTTACTCCAAAGCCCTACAGTAGGCTCTGAATGGGCTGTTAAGGCTACCTTGGAAAGAACTGCTAACATTAGTATTACTCTTAGAATCAAACTGTGCTTTTGTATTTCCACTATGGTTAATTTTTGGACTATGCATTAAGTTTTTGTTGTTGTTTTCTGAGACAGAGTCTGTGTGGCACTGGCTGTCATGAAACTCAATATGTGGATTAGGCTGGCCTAGAATTTACAGATCACAGAGGTCTTTGTGCCTCTGAGTGCTGGGATAAAAGGCATGTACCACCATGCCCAGGATTTTTGTTTTTATTTCTTATTGCAAAGTGATTTAATAGTACTGATTCTGTTCAGTATACCCAGTAAATACAAAGTAGTATTGATTAGCTAAATCAGAACTGAAAACTAAAACTGAAGTGAATTTGGCACATTTTGCCATGTTTTATGCACCATGAAAAGAAGGTGAAATCATTACTAATAAAACTTAAAACCTTAATGAATTGAGTTATGAAATATTCTTGATGATCACAGTAGATGTAAATCAGTTTACCTTTCATCCTTTCAGGGCGTCTATGGGCCAAAAGCTTATGTGGCAACCCAAGGTCCTTTAGCGAACACGGTCATAGACTTCTGGAGGATGATATGGGAGTACAGCGTTGTGGTGAGTGATTTACATCTGGTTTCCGACTGGGGGAGACAACTTGATAGGTAGAGTGGTTTAAGTGTAACACATTTCTGGAAAAGACAATAGATAACTTTGAAGATGGCTTATTAAATTCTCACAAATATTTTAAGAAAAGTGTACTATAATTTAAATCTTGCCCTATGTCAGCCAATGATATAGCTACTAAATGACTTTAAAATCATTTTTAAAAGATTAATGCTTACATAGACCAACAAAATGACTGATAATATAGGCATGTTCTTTTAAAATTTGATAAATATAATATTTTTAATTTAGACTGGGGAATTCATACATGCATTCAGTGTATTTCCATCATATTTACCCTCTACTCCCCCATCCAGCTTTTGTGGGATATCCCCCCTATGCATCCCCCTTCTAATGCCTTGCCCAATTAGTGCTACTCATAAACATATCATGTGCCGCCATCTGCTGAAGCCTGGTGAGCCTGCCAAAGATCTTATCCCCAAAGAAAACTTGCTTGGAGCTGGGAGGGGATGACTCAGTAGTTAAAGGACCCTGGCTGCTCTTCCAGAGGACCTAGTTGTGATTCCCAGGACCTACATGGTGGCTCACAACCACCTATAACTCCGGTTCCAAGGGATCTAATGCCTTCTTATAACATCCATGGACATTAAGCATTTGTGTAATGCACAGACCTGCATACAGGCAAAAGGCCTGTCCATATACATAAAATTTTTGAAAATCCTAACAGCCATTATTTGTCAGCATCTCCTCAGCTAGGAATGGGGAATTCTGTGTGACTCTCCATCCATCCATGGTCAAGTCTTTTAACCTTTTTCTAGAAGTAGACTCTTGGGTCCCTCTTCTTAGAAAAATAGATGTAAATATATTAACTATAAGTTGTTATGTGAAGTATAAAAGAATGTACCCTCCACCACCCTCCTACCCCAGCTCATTCAGTTGGAAGCATATCTAAACTATGGGCCTTTTAGTTCCTTTGGCTTTTTTGGATAAAGGGAAATATTATGCCCTTAGGTTTGAAAGCAAGGAAATATGTGGATTGTTAGGTGCTGCAAAGTGCCTATCTTTTAGACTGTGTGTCATCATCGGAATCAGCATTTGTTGTGTGGATATAGAGACACAGTCACAAGCTCTCACTCCTTTCCCAGTGATCCTAACACGGTGGCATCCTTCATTATCCCTTTGAGAGATCAATAAAAAGAGTATGGGATAACAATAGTACTTTTTGTTCGCTGTCAATTTCACTTTCAAATGAGATTTAAAACAGAAATAAATTTCCTAGGTAATGGGAACATATTATGTGCAGATAGGAGTTTGAATTTCACAGATGTATATATTTGTCAGAATTTAGAGAATGGTCACTTAAGATTTGTGTATTTCATTGTTGAGTATTTTCAAGGGAAATATTATAGTAAACAATATTGAGATCTGGGTAATACTTAGCATGCTGAGGTAACTAGGGGAGAGTACTGCTGCCTGCTGCATACTGAGGCATTGAAGTACATTTACAAAGAAGGTGGCAGAGGAATAAAAGAATACAGTGATAGTTACAATAAAAGTTTAATGCTTATAATGTACAGTTTTATTGTAAATCTTTCAACTTAAATTTAGAGGCTGCTAATCTTAATATGTTCAAGCTTTAGAAAGTTATACTTAAATGTTCTTTAATATTTGGTTAAGAGTAATAGAATTTGGTAAGTACCATGACAGTTCTTTCATATAATTCAAAAGTAAGAAATAAAAATAAGACAGATTCACAACCTAATCCAGACAAAAGTCATTTTAAATGGCATCACTTATTTATTGCTGTGTAGGTAGTTCTCATTTAGAAGGTAAGGTTTTGATATATCCTGTACTTAGTCTTGAGATTTTATTTATTTCTATGTGTGTTTGCCTGCATGTGTGTCTGTGTTACATGTGTGCAGTGCATGCAGAGGCAGAACAGGGCATCACATCACCTGGAACTGGAGTTAGAGATAGTTGCTAGCCACCATGTGGGCTCCGGGAACTGAAACTAGGTCCTGCATGAGCAACCAGTTCTCTAAACAACTCAACCATCTCTCAGCCCCTGTACTATACTTTTAACTTTAAAGCTACTTGTTAATGTAGAACAAGTATAGTTTTGCTCAGAGTAAAAGATAATTATTGAAATTTGTATTTAGTTTTAAAAATAAAACTACTTTTAACTGATATAGTCTTTATCTCCCACCCCAACTCTTTTTTAGATCATCGTAATGGCCTGTCGAGAATTTGAGATGGGAAGGGTATGTATACCACTTAACACATTATATCTACAAGTTCCTGGTCATTTATTACTTCACAGTAATCTGATCCCAAGCAGTTAAGGGTACATAATTCTTTTGTGTGCTCTGCTATTTTATATACTATATGGAGCAAAATGCCTCTAAAGCACAAACATGTTTGTGTACTTCAGAAGTACATTCTGTGATATAGTAAAAATAATAGTTATCGTTATAGTTTTCAAATGTTTCATGGTATTTTAAGTTAAATATAGTTTATTGTCTAGAAAGTAATTTTTGAAATATTAATGAATTGAACAAATAAGCATATTAAAGTAATTCTAATGATAATATTTAAGCTGCATATGGTATCATATACCTGTAATGCCAACACTTGAGAGGCACAGGTTGGAAGCACGCCACAGATTTGAGGTCAGGTTGGTCAAATCTATATAAGACTTTGTCTCATATTTCTTTTTAAAAGACATATACACATAGAGACTATGTGTATGCATATGTACATACATACATGTATGTTTGTGCAGGAACAGTTAAATGTGTATGTGAGTGTAAAAAACCAGAGATCAGCATTCAGTCTATTTGTCTGTCTCTCCTTGTTTGAGATAGGCTCTCTCACTAAACTTGGAGTTTATTTCATCTAGACTGGCCGGCCATTAAGCATCCAGAATTCTGTCTGCTCCCACAGTGCTGGGGTGACAGATGGATACCACTGTGCCTTACTTCTATACAGATGCGGGGTGGTGGGGGTAGACTCAGGTTTGTAAAGCAAGTGCTATGCCTAACCCCACCACCACTTGTGTGTGCGCATAGACATATTTACACACACACATGCGCGTGTGTATATGTGTATAAATATGTCTACATATATCCCCCCAAGACGGCTGTCCTTGGCTGTCCTAGAACTTGCTTTGTAGACCAGGAGTGGCCTCAAATTCAGAGATCTCCTGCCTCCGCTTCCAGAATCTGGGACTAAAGGTGTGTGCCACCACTCCCAGCTTTTGTTTATGCTGTATAGAAAAATTGTTGCTTGGTTTATTTATTTGGTAATGTTCAGATTGAACCCAGAACCTTACACATACTAGCAAACTCTTATCACTGAGATTCCCATTGCTTTCATTTTTAGCTAATGTGTGTAACTGATGCTTTATTGCATACCGTTGTGATGTCCTACAGCATTAGTCCTGAAATTGTCACTGTACAAAGATGGTAATGAATTTACAAAGAATAGTACTTAAGTAAAACTTGTTTTACCGCTAGATGTGACACCCAAGTCAAACTTAAAGAATAAATGGTGTAGTATCTTTATTTGAAGTTCTTTATGTTTGTGTGATTCATTAGTAAAGGTAATTTTTAGGTTCTAAAAAATGTCTATTAAAATTTTCATTTAGAGATGTGCTACAGAAGCAAAGTAAATCTTTGTTGTATATGTGTTATAAATACTGGAGAAGCAGCTGGGTGTTGATGGCACATGATTTTAATCCCAGCACTCGGGAGGCAGAGGCAGGCAGATCTCTATGAGTTCTAGGCCAGCCTGGTCTACAGAGTGAGTACCAGGACAGGCTCCAAAACAATACAGAGAAACTCTGTCTCAAAAACCCAAAACAAAAAAAGATAGTAATAAAAATAATAATGGAGAAGCCATATTTTAATTTCTTTTATTCCCTGGGAATAACTTTATTTGCCAGTATTAAGTAATGTTGGACAGAAAATAAACAAAGATAAGAAAATCTAAAAATTGAAAACAATCAAATTTTTATGTAAATGTTAATTTTCTTTATTATTATTTGATTTTAGTTGGAAATTAAGGTTTTTTTTCATCTATTTTTTGTTGTTATTGTTGTTTATTTGGGTTTTGGGGGGTCAGGGGGAATTTCTCCCTGGGGTCCTACCTACTTCTGCCTCTCTAGTGCTGGGGTTAAAGTCATGCACCACCAATGCCCAGCTCATATAGTGTGTTTCTTAAGTGTTGTTAAAGTTTAGGATTTCTCTAGCCAGCCCAAAGGCTAAAGACCATGTTCTCTGTCCACTGTAGCCACGCTTCCATATCATTCCTGTAACCTTCATTTTTCCATGCCTGTAGTTTCACCATTCTCCCCTGCACACAAAGCTCTCTTCTGCCATTTATCTCTTCTTCCACCTTTTTAGAACATCACCCCATGGACTCTCCCATCCCTGGTTGTTCTGGGGACACACAGCTCTGCAGACCCCTCCACCGCCACCTCCTCATCTCCCCTTGGAATCCCCTCCCTAAGTCTCTCAGGCTCCTCTGGGTTTCTTTGATGGCGATGACATGTTCCCAGATCTGGTTCTGTAGGATCAGCTCCATCATGCTCTGCAGCAGCTTGTAGATGGAATAGGTGTTGGGGTGGACCCACTGAAAGTGCTGGGTCTGGGCCAAGATGGCAGCCACATTGGTCTCCCCAGATCTGATCATGTTCATTTTCTAATTTCTGGGTTCTTAAAACACCACTTGCCAAAGGAGAAGGGACAGTTAAGGAAAAGTCAAGAATTAGGAGCAAGAGACATGGGAGACATAGGAAATGGGTTGAGGGCCTGGACTGGGTGGTGGTCAAGAAAATGGAGAAGAAAAAAGAAAGGATGTATGGACATTGCAAGAATAAAACCAGCGTGAATGGAGAAAGAAAAAAGGTTGAGGATTTTTGTTTTAATTTCATTAATGATCTTATCATATAAGTAGTGAAAACCACTCTTAATTAGCACAGGCCAATACTGTAGTAAAATTAACAGTGACAAAATGCTTCTTATACCAAGAAATACTCTTTCCTCTTAGCCCTAGAACACAAAGTATTTGTAAAAGCTTAAGAAGTATCATACAGGGCTGGAGAGAAGGCTCAGTGGTTAAGAGCACTAGCTGCTCTTCCTGGGGTCAAGTTCAATTCCCAGGAACAGTAATGGTGGCTCACAACCATCTGTAATGGGATCTGATGCCCTCTTTTGTTGTGCATGAAGACAGAGCACTCATATACATAAAATAATATAAACAAATAAGTCTCTTTAAAATATCATATTTACTGAACTCTTTTCTATTTATCTTTTTTGGACAACAGAAAAAGTGTGAGCGCTATTGGCCTTTGTATGGAGAAGATCCTATAACATTTGCACCATTTAGAATTTCTTGTGTAAGTACCTATTTTTATTTGTTTTTTGATAATTTTGTGTATGAATACAACATATTTTGATCAGCTCCATCCCTGCCTCATTTTCCAGCTCCTCAGACCCACTGATTGTCTTCATGACCTTCTTTTGATCCACTAAGTCTAATTGGGGCATGTGGTGTAGGGCCTTCTGCTGAAGCATCCACAACCCTAAAGAAAATTAATTGTCCCTTGCTCGTCGACCAGCTGCCAGTAGTGAATCTGTACAGGCCTCTCTTCCACCCATGTTGGAATTTTGATTGGCTCTGTCTTGTGCAGGGAAGTGCAGCAGCCCCAACATGCCGTTTCCAACCATTGGCTTTTAGAATCTTCCTGCCTCCTTTTCTACAGTGGCTTCTGAGCTTTGTGGGAAGGGGCTCTGATGTAGATGTCCCATTTGTGTATGAGCACTGTACTGTCATTTAGTCTTTCTCCTCTTTAATCAGTTCTATAGCAGGAAAAAAAATGAATAGAGGGTGGGTTTTCATCTGAACTAAAAGATAATTTTTTTTAAAAATCCTCTTAATATGAGATTTGGTTTAGTGAATAAAAACTGATCTGATTTGTCAGTACCAAAATTAATCCATTCTGAAGACTTTAAAATAAAAAGGAATTTCTACATATTTTTATTTATTTGTTTTTTGACATTCCAATCCCAGTTCCCCCTCCCACTTCTCCCACTCCCCCTCCCATCTGCTCATCAGAGAGGGTATGGCCTCCTCTAGGAAGTCTATGATGTCTGTCCCATCATCTCATTGAGGCAGGACCAAAGCACCTCTCCACCCCGACAACCCTGTGTCTAGGCTTTATGTATTTTTGTGTCAAGACAACTCTTATTTTCACTGATTTTTAACTGCAAGTAAGGACTGAATTTACAAACTGAAACTGTGTTAGTGGGAACAGCCATAGTGTATAAAATGCCTACTTTGAGTAGAGAAATGAGTCTTTCTGATGACTGTTGGTATAGAATAAAGAAGAGTACCGTCATGGTCAGAAGAGGAGACAGCTAACAGGAGTTCAATCCTCTGTTGCTGCAGGAGGCTGCTTTGCCTGGGTCTCAGCTCTAGACCACCAGGCTTTTTGCAAATAATTTTGTTGCATTTGTAGCCAAGTCTGCCTCAGAGTTGAAAGACTTCCCATCCTAGTCTTCCGGTGCTGAGGTGGTAGGCGTACGCATGCTCTGGCTTCTTGACTCCTTTTGAGAAGTAAAATACACTTTCCTCTTTAACAATAAATGAAAAAAAAAAAAAGATTGGGCATGGTGGCACATGCCTTTTTGTGAGGGACATGACACAGACATGACAGCAGGCTGATGTCTGAAGTTGAGGCCAGCCAGGTCTATAAAGTGAGTTTTAGGATAGCCAGAGCTACGCAGAGAGACCCTGTCTCAAAAAAATAAAAATTTAAAAAAGAAGGCTAAAGAAAAAACAAATAATAATAATAAATTAATTAAAACACTAAATTTCTATCCTAGAATAATAGTAGATGTCTATTTTATTAATGAGTAGCATATAGTATTCTTGTTAATGACTGACCTAAACTGTCTGTGGTTAGAACTAACAAGGCAAAAAAGAACTCCACAGCAGACAAATGTCAGACTTCCTTCTAATACTCTAAACATGGTATAGACTTAAAAGTGTTCATGTTTCTGGCAACTGTAATAAGAATAATAACAATGTTTTCTCTTCCATCTTTCCTGAGTTGCCATTCATTTAAATTGAGAGTTGAGATGGCGTGGTTGAAAATGGGATGCGGTGGCAGACATTAAGGCATGACATTCGTTTTGGATTGTCTTGTTGAATAGTTCTGGGGATGATTGCTGCTTTGCTGCGTTCTGTTAGATGGCAAAGTCATGATTAAGTGATCAGTTAATGGACATTTTTTAAAGCCTGTAAGTCAGAGTTAGACAAAACTCTAGGAAACAGAGCCTATAGCTCAGTGTGTGTTTACCCTAGCATAGCTTGGGCTCAGATCCTAGCACCATTAAAAACTTAAATGGATGACTTTTAGATTTTTAAAATAGGTATTTAAAAATGTATGTTTTTTTTTTTTTTAACTGATTTACAAGTTTTTCTCATTTTAGGAAAATGAGCAAGCAAGAACAGACTACTTCATTCGAACACTTCTACTTGAGTTTCAAAATGTAAGCAATTCCCATTATAGATAAAGAGTGCCTGTTCCCATTTACATCCTCCACCCCATTCTTGCTGAGTCTTGATCTTGCTGTTATGCACTTAATTTAGTTAGTGTCTGAGCCTTACACTTACAAATTATATAGTAAAATAATGTGAACTTTTTTTTAAATGTTCTGAAAGTGAAAATTATGTAAATCTCAATTTACTTAGAACTTAAAGTTTCTGTGTGTAGGATAATTATGCTTTCTTTGTTGCAGATGGTTTTCTTCTATTAACAATAGATTATAGCATTATTTACTTATTACTCACTTGTAGTCACAATTTTTTTAGAGACAAAACTAAATTTTTAATTAGAGGCTGGGATATAGCTCAGTGCTAGGGACCTTTGTCCAGCAGGCACAAGGGCTCAATTCCCAGCACTATAAGAAATAGAAAAGTAAATTGTCATTTAGATTTAAATTATATTTACCATAGGATATTGACTTTGGGGCTGGCCCGACGTTGGGCACCATATGTTAGAAGTAGGTTTTCCTGCTGGCATGGACCCATCACGGCACCAACCCCAAATAATACAGAGACTCTGTATTTGATATAATGCTGTTGGCCAGATACTAGGTTCTTATCAGCTAGCTCTGTCTTAAGTATTAACCCATTTCTATTAATCTAAGTATTTCCACGTGGTCTCATCTTACCAGAAAGTGGGCCCGGACCTCTGTTCTCTTCAGTCTCTACATGATGACTCCTCCCTATTACTTCCTTGAATCCTCCTTGTCTCCTAGTCCCGCCTGTCTTGCTTTCCTATTGGCCAACAATAGGAAACCAGTATGAGAAACATATTTACAGAATGACATCTCCCATCATTCCCCCACCCCCTTCAAAATGAAGAAGCCAGACACTAAAAGGACATTGGAAAAATGCTTCTCAACTTTTTTCTCATCAGTTTTTGTTAGCTTGGCCATGAGGTACATCATTTTTTTCCCCAAGCCTACTTGCTTTCTTTTGGCAAACTACCTTTATTGTTCTTCTCCCTGACTTTACTAATCATATCCCGTTAGTTGAATTATTTATTATATGTAAGTTGCACATTTTATCCCTAGTTAGTACCTTAATTTTTACATGTGTATCAAATAAATCAGTTATCCTAACTGATAGAAAAGTATGTATTGCACATAGACATAGGTAAAGGGGATATGAGAAGGGAAATACATAACTTGAATGTTGGAACTGAATTCTAAGCTCTGTTCTTTCTGTTGACATGTAGAATATCTTAAAAAGTTACTGAGAGATAGAGACTTCACAGAGGTTAAGAGCCCTTGCTTCTCTTGAAGAGGACCCAGGTGGTTCACAACTCTATAACTACACTTTCTGAAGATCCAAGCCCTCTTTTGACCTCTATGGCACAAGGAGTACACACACACAGTGTACATATGTGTGTGTACTCCGCTTCATAAATGAAAATAAATATTCTTTAGAGTTAATGAGGCTTCTTTGGATCTTTGATTTATTTGGGCTATTGCCTTCAGTGTTTGCTATTAAATTAAAATTTGGACAAAGTTTAAAGCCATGGAATACATAAGTATATATTACATTAGCTGGTAAAAGGAAAGTAAAATCTTATCATTATTCTGAAAACAAACCTCCCAGTTCCTATGCCAGTTGCCCCAAAGGGTTGAGAGGAAATAAACAGTTTCCTAGATCACAAGTGAAGAACCAATAACCTAGAGTGAGAAAATGTATTTGGAGTTGGATATGCTTCTGTTTTAGGATATTCTCTTGGTCCTCTAGCTCTAATGAATTCTAAAAATGATATATCAGTTTTATTCTGTGGATTAAATTATGTTATGAAATGTGGATAAAGAGCATGTTGTATATATTAATATCACTTGGGTTAGATCTTACATTTATTAGTTCCTATAAAACATTAGGCAAATTAATGTCGAAATTTCCTTACCTATAAAATAAAGATGGTATGAGCACCACCTTTCCTTGTGGATGCTAAATAAATTATAGCATATGAGACATCATCAGTACTGGGTATTTAGTAAATAGTCAATAAATGAAGGCCATTGTTATTTCATTTTTTAAAGGTATCTTAGAAATGATAATTAAATGAAATGCATAGCTTAAAAGTTTGAAAATACATTTTTTAATAACTGAGTTTCTGTTTTTCATGAAGGAATCTCGTCGGCTTTATCAGTTTCATTATGTGAACTGGCCAGACCATGATGTTCCTTCATCGTTTGATTCTATTCTGGACATGATAAGTTTAATGAGGAAATACCAAGAACATGAAGATGTGCCTATTTGTATTCATTGCAGGTACAAAAGAATTTTTAAAATGTAGACAAGTACAGTGCTTCAGTTTGTTGTGAAATAAAGTTTTGTTTCTACATTAATTTGATGCATTATATCTTGAGCTTTCCTAGCCCCGTTGTAGTGTTTGAGGCCCTGCAAATTGATATAATCTAATCTAGTTAATAGACTATTTTAAGTGTTAAAGTAAAACATCATCACATTCCTTGATATGATCAATGTCAGGTAAATTTTTATGAATAATAGAATATTATTTCATGAATACTAGGAATGAATGGTCTTCTGGTCTAAGACATCATTGGTCTTCAGGCAAGTCTTGGGTGTTGTGAGTATGCTTATAATCCCCAGACCAAGGAGACTATACAAGAAGATCGCAGAGAGGCCAAGGCCATTCAGGGCTATTGAAACTATCTCAACAAACAGAAGGAAAGAAAAAGGGAAACATATCTTACACTTACTAAACGTGAGAATTTAAAAGGAGAATCCATTGCCAATTTTGCAGCAAAATGTCATTTGTAAGACAGACTAATTTCAGAGCTCTTTCAACATAGGTTTTTAAGGTGTTTTCCAAGTGACAAAACATTCAGTGCTATTTTTCTTCCTGAGGAACAAGGGTCCATGTCTATACCACTATCTGTCATGCCATGAAAGTATAGTTTAAAACTACTGAAATCTTGAAACTAACATTATTTTTTTTTTTTCCTTTTAAGAAATTGTTGTGGATGGCTTTTGTTGTTAAATATGCCGATCCCCCAAAGTTTTTGAGGGTTAAAGGCTTAAAACCATGTCTGATGTAGGCCAACCTGATAACACTTGTTTACTGAAAAACTTTATTGAATTGTGCTGGATAGCATTACCTAAAACTAAATAATGACCTGCCCCCTAGTAGTCTTAACTTTAGATATATCTATATTCAGCTGCCTTATAGAAATGTTTTCACTTTTTCAGGTATGTTTAAATTCCAATTACTTTTTGCAAAATTACTCATTTGACATGTAAACCCAGCCTTTGAATTCTGAGGCAATGGATATGATATGTGTACCTTTGCAGGGGTAACTGATTTTGTGTTCCAAGTATGGATTAGAGATTAATTGTGTTAAATAAGATAACCACCTATTTTTAATTAAACACATTGAGCTATTTTTATTGTCTGATTATTTTTCTGCCCATAAGCCTTAAAACCTTTAAAATAAAAATCAAAGAAACATTCCAGTTGGGCAGAAGATGGTCTTAATTTTTCCATGTCTGCCTAAGGAAGCATTTATATGATTTTTATATCCTTAAATATTGTGACTCCTTTATTCCCTGTCTCACTGGCAACCATTCTACTCCATTATGGTAGGCTCTTTGCTACATATTGCATTTGTGATAGACTTGTTGCTGCAGATTGCACTTGTGATAGACTCTTTGCTGCAACCCTTTTTTAGAAGATTTTAAATGTGTGGCTCACTTGGATGACCATTGCTTTTGTATTGTGTGTGTGTGTGTGTGTGTGTGTGTGTGTGTGTGTGTGTGTGTGTGTGTTTTAATTTGGCAGTCTTAGTAGCCCTGGTGAGCCTTGAACTTTTACCTCTTCCTCCCAGGTGCAAGGATGAGCCCTTTAAATTTAAGTGTTCAAGGACTTGATAGAGTGACTCATGCCTATAATCTCACTGCTTGAGAGACTATGTAAGATAAAGGCCAGCCTGAACTGTAAAGTGAAATTATATCTCAAAATAAGGAGGGTGTGGGGAGGAAGAAGAAGAGGAGCAACAACAAAAAAACCCTAAACAAACTCCAGGGAAACAGCTAAGGAAAATACTAAACAGTGTATTAGACAGAGGAAAAAAGTATTGTTGCTTTCTTCTTTTGCTGTCATAAAATAATATGGCCCAAAACAATTTAAGGAAGAAATGGTTTGTTTTTTGTGGGTTTTTGTTGTTGTTGTTGTTGTTGTTGTTGTTTGTTTGTTTGTTTGTTATTTAAGTTTACAGTTTCAGAGGGGAAAATGCATAAATTTAGGAAGGACATGGGCAGTATCAGGAAGTAAGACAAGACTATAACCCCTCAAAGCCCACCTCCAATACTATACTTCCTCCAGCAAAGTTCTAGTTCTTAAAGGTCCCGTAATACACACCATGTACAAGTGCCACCAGCTGGGGACAGGTGTTCAAATATGAGTCTGGGATGGTAGTTCTCATCCAAACCACCATCCCTTAGCTTCATTTTTATGTCTACATGTATAGTGTTTATAAAAATGTTACTGAGAATACAATTTTAAAAAGAATAAATGTTGGATCAATCATGAAGAAATGTTTGAGGTACCTTTGTAGTATAGTCTTGACTGTATTTTTAGTAGCATGTAGGATATTTCAAAACCTAATGTAGAATTTCATTAGATAAATCCATGTATTTCCAAATGGTGTAAAAGCTACTTGACTCCTGAGGCAATTTTTCTTTTTTCTATCTTAATCTTTCAAAAGACCTTAGAATTAGTGTTTCTCAAAATTGCCCTACTATCCTGCTATTTGTGTCTGTAATAGAATTTATTCATTCATTCATTCATTTATTTATGGTTTTTCGAGACAGGGTTTCTCTGTAGCTTTGGAGCCTATCCTGGCACTTGCTCTGTAGACCAGGTTGGTCTCGAACTCACAGAGATCCATCTTCTGCCAGTGCTGGGATTAAAGGCATGCACCACCACTGCCCAGCTGATTTGAATTTATTATAAGAAGTTAATAAAGCAAACACAGCATGGTGGTACATGCCTGTAATCCCAGTGTTCTGTAGACAAGAGTAGGAGGATTATGAATAGGGAGACCAACTTGGACCACAGAAACCCTGTGTTCCCCCCCTCTCCCCAAAAAAAAAAAAAAACTCTCAGCATTGACTGCTTTTCCAGAGGACCCCATTTCAATTCCCAGCACCCATTGGGCAGCTTACAACTCCAGTTTTAGGGGATATGACACCCTCTTCTAGTTTTTCTGGGCACCACTCATGTGGGCATGTGGTACACAGACATAGAGAAAAACAAAATGCTCGTGTATTTGAAACAGTTTTTTTTTTTTTTAAGTAAATGAAAATTTTCATTTCATAAGAGATTTATTAATTACTTTTTTAAATGTTTTATTTTTAATTTTGAGATTTTCTCACCTAACTGTTATTTTAGGATTAGTGAAGAGAACTGATTTCTGCCTCTTACTCCAGAAGTGGTTTGCTGGGAATTCACATTTGTGAATTAAAGCAATTTTCCATAGTTAGTTCAGTGATGTCTTAAGTAGTGGATTGGTTAAAAAAGAAAACTGTTTGTTCTGGAATTGAAAGATAAATTGTTTTGACTTGGGATTTTTTTTTTTTACAAGTTATTTGAAATTATTTCCTGCTCTGTCATTATTCAGTCATAATTCTTAAGTCTTATTTCAGTTGGATTTTTCTGGTTTTGAAATTTTTTAATGCTTTTAAACAACAAAGCAGTGTGTTAACTGCACTAACTTAAAAAGCATGTCTATAAAAGAAAATGTGACCATTTGAGATGTAGTGTGTGTGTTTGTAGACAGGATCTTAAATATCCCGAATCGGCTGGAGACTCATAAAGTCCCTGCCTTTCATGTGCTTCATTGGCATGGGCAGCTTTCAGCACAGGCAGCTCTGGAGTATGTTCACAAGAAACTCCCTACTTATAACACAATATTGTAAACACCTAGCTCCTGCTGTCTGTCCTCCAGGAGGTGGATGGTGGTCATTTATCTTTGCTTATGGGATGCTGGCTGCTGAAGTCACTGTGGGTTCTACAACTCATTCCTCGGTCTTGTAGTCTTCTCCATCCCATACCTGTTATAGGCTGTTGGCTCCTGTGGGCCAAAACTAAAGCCACCTTGAGCATTCTCTTATGCTGATAACTATTGAGAATAACATTATCTCTACAGTATGTTACTGGCAAGACATAGACTTGCAGATTTGTAGCTTACAGCCTTCCTGTGAATCACTTACTGACAGAAATTCCTCATTAAAATTTCAAAAACATTTTCAAATTTTAATGTTAAGGATAGTGCTGTTCTTGTACTTTAATTTGTATTTTGTTCACTAAGTAGAATTTCATAAGATTTCTTAAATGATTTTTTTGCCTTTTTATTTTAAAAAATCAAATTTTTTTTTTTTTTCTCAAACTTTGTATCTTTAGTGCAGGCTGTGGAAGAACAGGTGCTATCTGTGCCATAGATTATACGTGGAACTTACTAAAAGCTGGGGTAAGAATAATTTCATACAGCATTATCATTATATTCAGCTCATTATGAGCTTCAAATTAATGTCAACTGTTAAAACTACATGATGTTTTTTCTTAGATATACTGTTCTCAGTAAGTGTAAACATTACATATTGCCTGAGATTCTGAATGAACACCCGGGCAGGGACTTGTTCTCCACTCAATGAATACTAGGGAGTGTGCAAATTTTAATTTAACTTAGTATAAATGTACTATATTTACTAAATATTTTCACTTGTAGTGTTTAAGAGTACTGACTATGGGGCCAAAGTGCCTAGAATAAAATTCTGGGTCTGTAATTCACTGTCTGTGGGGTTTTGGTTGTTAGGGCTGCTGTCAGCATTGTTGTTTCTGCCTCTGTTATTTTCATACATTGTGTTTGATGTTATGGAAGACACAAAAGTCAGTAAGAGCCCTTTCTCTGTATGTATGTGTTTCTCTTTACTGTCCATACTGTGTTCATTTTCTCTGAGTTATAGACAAATGTAATCTTCCATAGCTTGAAATTTTCTGGGAATATTGTCAGTCAGCATTTTGTGGGGAAACAAAAGGTGGTGGTATAGTAGTTTTCTTTTTACATCCTCTGTTCCCCTGCCATTGTACCTGTCCCCCACCCGGGGTAGAAGGATAACAAATTTTAATGACTCTTTCAGAATATCTCTGGGATTAAATTTTGTGTTTTTATTCCATAAAAACTAACCTTTTCCTAATGTGAATTTTTTAATGAAAACCATTAAGATTCTCACTTTTTTGTTTGCTTTGAAACTCAAGGTCTCATTATATGTGGCTCTGACTTGAACTCACAGAGATCCACCTGCCTCTGGCTTCCAAGTTCTGAGATGAAAACCATGCACCACTGTGCCTGGATCTCACTTTTAACAGAAAAGTAAAAAATGATGGGAGTAGATTGATGGCCTAGCAGTAAAGAACATTTGCTGCTCTTACAGAGGACCAGAGTTGAGTTTTAGAACTCACATGGTAACACAGAACTTCAGTTCCAGGGTAACCAAGGCCTTCTGACCTCTGCAGCAATCGGGCAAGCACATATTAAAACACACACATGCAGAACATAAATAAATAGATATTTTTAAAGTCAAAATTAAAATTGAAAAACAAACACAAACAAAAAAAGCTATTAAATACCAGCAAACAAAATTTGGGGAAAATATTTAAATATGTTTGAAATATCACTAAAGTTGTATTTTTTAGTTGTAGTCCCCATTTGATGCATTTTTTCTTAATATAAATGTAACTTAGGCCTTAACTGGAAGTATGTATAAAAATCCTTTAATTTCTATAAAGACTTGGAAGCTATAACCCTTGAAATCATTCTGTACTCAATCGGTCTTCCTCACTCAGCAGAATGTCTTTATTAGGCACCAAATCTTAATCACTTTTTCCCTGTTCAGACTGTCATCGCTGGTTGGCAGAGCACAAATGTATCTCAAGATTGTAATTTCAGTTTGAAATGTGCAGGAGTTGTCCAGGTTTTACAGTCATCACCTGGCGATGAAACTTACAGAATGTCTAAGGACACAGTGGCCTAGAATGAAGTCAAATTCTTTATTATATTTATAGTCTGATTTCAAGTAACCTTATCTTAGGCTTTATCAATATTCAACTTTGTAATTCTCCAAATAATCAGTCTCCCATGGTTGGATATATTTCCTTCATTTTCACAGAATAACCTTTTACTTGAATTTGTGTGTGTTCATATACATGAATGTATGGTAAATGTGTATGTTTATGTGTGCACTTGGTGGTCAGAAGACATCAGCTGTCTTCCTGGCTCATAGTTTTGAGATAATGTCTCTCAGTAAACTTGAAACTCACTGACTTAGCTTGGGCAGTTATTCCCATCACTAGGGTTTCAAACTCTGCCAGCACCCGTCATTTGTGTGGGTTCTGAGGAACTGCACTTACGTGAGCACTTTACGGACTTGAGCCATCTTCTGAGCCCTGTCATAACTATTTAAGTTCTACTCCATCTGTTTATTATGACTTCTCTGTTCTCTGCATGCTGTAGCGATTCTCTGCAGTGTGACTACTGAGGATCGGATGAGCTTGTCCATAGTGCCTTCAGTGTCTGATACTTAGTTCTCAGTAAATATTTATACTTGTCCAGCGTGTACCTAAGGTCCGTTTGAAAACAGTGTTACATATGTTAAATTCTTTGTTTTAGAAAATTCCAGAGGAATTTAATGTATTTAATTTAATACAAGAAATGAGAACACAAAGGCACTCTGCAGTACAAACAAAGGTATACTTAATTTTTTTCTCTTTATAAATTATATTTTCATAAATGTTTCCTCTGGTGTTTATCATTATCTCCTGTTTATCTTTTTTGTTCCTATTAGGAGCAATATGAGCTTGTTCATAGAGCTATTGCCCAACTGTTTGAAAAACAGCTGCAACTGTATGAAATTCATGGAGCACAGAAAATTGCTGATAGTGTAAGTATTCATGTCTAGACTTGGCAAACCTATTTTTCACCAAGATTTAGCATTTGTGATCTTGTGCTACAGCTGTGTGAGACTGTCCTTGACAAAAGTTATTATCTCACCTAGGCTTTATTAACTCACTTAACTTTAACTCTGTTGTGGTAAAGATTTAGTGATTTAAACTCAATAAGTAAAATACAGAAAAGATCTTATGTCAAAGTCTATATTCATTATTGTTTCGAGTATAAGCTGCATTTTAAAAAAAAACTTAACTGCATTATTCTCCCTTTACTTTCACCCACAAGTAAATGATTATGTTGGGCCTGCTTGAGTTTTGTTTTGGCATGGTAGTATAACATTTTGTACTTACTTGCATACATTTTTATGGTGTGGGGCAGTCTTGCCTATGTAACCCAAGCTGTTTGAGGTTCTCTTGCCTCAGCCCCCTTGAGTATTGGGATTATAAACATACATCACCATGCCAGGTATTACACATACTTTTAAAAAGCACAATTACAGGGCCACCAGTAAGTCTTTTTTTGTCATTTTGTAACTCATTGCCATTTTAGCTTAAATGCTTTTACTGGGTCTTCAGTTTTTAAACATTTATTATTAAGGGGTAAGTGTGTGTGTTTGGATGTGCATGTCATGATGTGGGGTTAGGGATACATAACACAGCTTGTGCATAGAGGTTATTGACAAACTTTGTAGGTTAGTTCTCTCATGTACCAGTCACAGAAAACTTTTTCCTGTAACTTTAATGAAACCTTTTTCCCTTGGCAGCATGAAATTACCACTGGAAATATGGTCAGCTCCATTGATAGTGAAAAACAAGATTCTCCTCCTCCAAAGCCACCAAGGACTAGGAGGTATTGTGCCATAGAACATTTTCTCTTAAGAGGATTCTTTTATTTTACTGACATAACTAAAATCACAGATTTTGAACATTTAACAGGTTATTTCATTAGGATATAGCACATTTGCAATTGTTTGTTACTAGTATGCTAAAGTTCCTTTAAAGTTAGGAGAATTAATCAGAAGTTCATATTTCAAGAAGGTACCCCCAAATGCCTATCGTAGCCAAGGTTTGTTTTATGGCTGAGATTTGAGCATAAGAATGCCAGATTCTGGGTGTACCACAAAGGAAAAAGGACAGCTGGAAAATAGTGGTATGGAGTCATAGAGAAGGAAGGAGGCCAGGGTTTCCTGTGTGGGAAACAAGCATCTAGCACTAAGCCACCCCCATCCCCACCCCTCCCACCCCCGAGAGAACATTTTATATGGCAAAAAAGTAGCATGAACATCTGCTCACAACAGAGTACTGCCTGGGAAAATGAACTAGACTTTCACACCTGTGTGTAAAACTAAGAACATTTGTGGAATTCAAACAAGTCGTGGTTGGTTCGTGCCAATGCATTTTGAACTATCTCATTTGGGAAGCCCATCAAACAGCAAAGGTGCACTTAGCACCTTGAGAAAATAGCAAGTATACAATTGGGTGATGCTGGGTATAAGACCACCGTTTAAGAGGGTTGCTGCATACATTAGCCTGGACTGGAGAACAGTAGGTGTGTTTAGTTAGTTAGTTAGTTAGTTAGTTAGTTAGTTAGTTAGTTAGTTAGTTAGTTAGGCATGTTATTAAGATTTATTCATTTGATTTTATTGTGTAAGTATTTTACCTGCATGTATGTATGTATGTGTAGGTAAATCTCTGTGAATGTATGTGTGTGAGAAGGGCTTTGGAATCCCTAGAACTGGGGTAAAAAGTGGCTGTAAGCTGACTTGTGAGCTCTGCAAAAGCAGCAGTATTCTTTACGAATGGACCAGCTTACCAGCCTTAAGTTTTTAACTTTTTAGAAGACAACTGAATTAAATTCAAGTAAGTATCTTAAAGAGGTTTGTTTATAGAATAGCAAACACTTACAGAAACTAGAATTTTATGTAGAGGTTGTTATTTTGACTGATTAAAAAAAATTAAAGTTCATTGGTTGGAAAAATGTGTCGTTTAGCTTTTTTCCTTCCTTTTTGGGTTTTGTTTTGTTTTTGTTTTGTTTTTTCAAGACAGGGTTTCACTGTGTAGTCCTGGCTATCCTGGAACTTGTTCTGTAGACCAGCTTGTAGACCAAACTCAAGAGATCCACCCACCTCCCTCCTGAGTGCTGGTTTTAAAGGCATGCACCACCACCTCCTGGCTTCACTTAGCTTTTTAAATAATATATAAAGTACTTTTTTTAAAAATTTGCCTCAATTTTCAAAACACCAGAATACAGCTTTCTAAAACTTGACAGTATATTAAAGTGCTTCTGGATTTTTTTAGAAGACAAATTTACCAAACAAAAGCTGGAGGGAAATGATGAAATGACTAGCCTATGTAAAAATTATTACAGTGTTTAAGACCAGGCCTGTACTGCAGCACTTGGAAGGTAAAGGCAAAAAGATCAGAAGTTCAAGGGCAATTCTGTCAGACAACCCAGTGTATAAGTCACTCAGTCTCAGGGAACTTCAGTGACCTGAGTTCAATCCCCATGGCAGGAAGAGAATCAACTCATGAAGACTGTCTTTATTTTAAATGAATATAGAGGCTAGAGAAATGGTCCAGTGGTAAAAAACATTTGGTGTTCTTGCAGAGGTCTGAAGGCTCCTATACACATGTGATACATATACATACACTCAGGCACACACACATCAAGTATTTTTCCTAAGAATGTATATGCTAGACAGAACTTGTACTGAGAAACCATTTATCATCTTGAAAATAAGAGCATACGCTTCACTGCATTTTATCAGACCAAACACCTATTAAAGCTTTGGGTAGTTAAATGAAGTAAATATAAAAAAATCAGATAATTGAAAACAAAATGGGGGGGGGGGGGGTGGTAGAGGGAAGAAAGTACTGAAAAAGATTACTGGAAATGGGTGTTTCAGGTAAAAACCTGGAGCAAGGGAATCTACAAGGATGACCCCAGCAAAGACTCCTAGCAATAGATATGTAGCCTGACCTGTTGATCTCCTATTACCAGATTGGTGCCTGGCCCAGTTGTCCTCAAAAACTATTCATCCAGCAACTGATGGAAACAGATGCAGACCTCCAGCCAAACATTAGGCTGATGTCAGGGAATCCTGCAGAGGAGGGGAGGAAGGATTATAGGAGCCAGAGGGGTCAAGGACATCACAAGACAACTCCAGAATCAACTAACCTGGGCTCAGAGAGAATGAACCCACAACCATAAAACATGCAGGGGTCTACTTAGGCACTCTACATACTGTTATAGCTGTGTAGCTTGATCCTCTTATGGGACTCCTACCAGTGAGGTCAGGGACTGTTGGTGACTCTTGCTGGTTTTTGGGACACTACTTCTTATTATGCTTTGCCTTGCCCAGTCTTAATACTGCAACTTGATAAGCCATGTTTTGTTGATACTCATGGGAGACCTGTACTTTTCTAAGCTGAAGTGGAAGAGGGTGTCAGGGGGGGGACTTGGAGGAGAGGAGGGAGGGGAAACTACAACTAGGATATAAAATAAATAAATAATTTGGACAGGCAGAAGAAAGAAAATACAATATACTTGTCAAACTTATAGCAGAAGGGATTTAAAAAATCACAGATGAGATTAATTCATCACTTAAAAGTTTAGAGGACACTCTGAGCTAACCAGCTAGATTCATCACTTAAAATTTTACAGTTTTTATTACTGATTCTAGATTGACATGCTTAGAGTCATGTGCTTGTTCCTAAAATAGTTCTCCAACTTTGTGGTTTCTGTGTTTTCTCTCCCACCAGATTGTTTCTTTTCATTATTAAAAACATTTTTGCAACTCAGATATAATTTTTAAAGTTATTGATAGAAGGAAAGGTATAGCATGGGTAAAAGCAGCTTTCTCAGTACTGGGATGTAAGTAGTATAGAAGACACCATGTTTTTCGTTGAAAAATAAGTAACCATGGGGGCTAGATAAATGGCTCAACAGTTAAGGATCCAAGTTCAATTCCCAGCACGTGTGTCAGTTTGCTCGCAACCACCTGTAATTAACTCTGGCTCCAAGGGAACCAATGTCCTCTCCTGGCCTCAATGGATTTACATATACGCACATACATACTCAAACACAAATGCAATCATTTGTTTTGTTTTGTTTTTTTTAACATGTATGGGTGTTTAAACTTTATTTACACCTGTCTACCCTGTATATACCTGGTGCCCCATAGGGGGCTAGAAAAGAGCATCAATCCCTTTGGACTGGAATTAACAAAACATTTATGTCCTGCTGTGTGGGTGTGGGAAATTGACCTGTGTTGTACTTCCAGTGTTGTATTATTTTCTTCCATTAACATATTACCTTTCTAGCAGAGGGGAGCGGTTGGTGTTTTGTTTAACCAGAATCATAAGGCTGTAGAGAACAGTTGTTTCTGTTAGAGGTCAGTACCTTTGAAGGTACAAGTATATTAGTCCTCTAGAAGGTTACATTTCTTAAGTAAGATGGTACACACTTGTAATTCCAGCATTTGTGGGACAGAGGCAACAGGTACATTTAAAGCCAGACTAGGTTATGCACTGAGACTCTGGTTAAAAAGGCAACATAATTTTTAAAACAAAACCAATTTTAAAACAAAAGTTTACCTTCTGTATATAGTTGAGAAACTGTAGCACACCAAAATGAGAGAGAGTGTCAGTGGGAAAGAGAAGATGGGCTGGGAAACATGCAAGTCTGACACACAGGGACTGTGGTAGCCTGGGGATAGGGACAGCCCACGCTGTCAGAAGAGGAATAACTAGTTGTGATGCTTCCCTGGTGTGTGTGATCTGACAGGACACATAGAAATCTGCTGGAAAGTTAGAGAACTGATTGCTAAGAACTAAGCCATTAAAACTCCAAGACTAACAGGAAAACATGAAATTCAAGAATGAAAGAAAACATGGTGTCCTAACTGTGAATAATACTAATGGCCATAGATTTTGCTAAACAAAACTGTAAGAATATTGGGAAGGTAGAAAAGGAGATAATTCCAAAGTAGGAAGTATACCATTTAAAACAAAAGATCAAGAAGTAATAGCAATGTCAACGTCTTAAAATATTGAAGAATATCTTAAAAGTAGCTGTAAAATTTTTTTTTTTTTTCCCAATATGTAGTCCTGGCTATCCTGGAACTTACTATATTTGAGACCAAGCTGGCCTCAAACTCACAGAGATCCATCTGCCTCTGCTTCCCAGTGCTGAGACTAAAGTTGTGTGGGTACCGCCTCCCAGCCCTGTGAAAAAAATTTAGAGTGGGTGCCTCTGGTTAATATAGAATGGAAGGGGGAACTGTTTTTTTTTCATTAGACTCTAAAAGAATAGATCTGTGTTACCTTTATAAATACTGATTTGTCTTAGTCTTACAAACTAGAACTTTATAACCATATTGTAATGGACTTTAATGTAATAGTTTTTGCTACAGAGTTATCATTAGTCAACTTACTTGACTAAGAATGTTAAACATTCTTTAAATCCTGTTTGTTGTTTTCCAGTTGCCTTGTAGAAGGGGATGCCAAGGAAGGAAATCCTACAGCCACCAGAGCCTCACCCGGTGCCTCCCATCTTGACACCTTCCCCCCCTTCAGCCTTTCCAACCGTTACTACTGTATGGCAGGACAGTGACAGGTACCACCCAAAGCCAGTGTTGCACATGGTCTCATCAGAACAACATTCAACAGACCTCAACAGAAATTATAATAAATCCTCAGATGTTACAGGGAAAATGAATCAACTGTTGAACACATAGATAAAAAATTAGAGCGAAATTTAAGTTCTGAGATTAAGAAGTCCCCCTTCAAGAGGGACCCAAAAGTTTTGATGGGAACACACTCTTGAATAGAGCACATGCCATTAAAATTAAATCTGCTTCATTGTCTGTGGTTGACAAAACCTCCAGGCCACAGGAGTTAAATTCAGGTGATGTAAAAGTTGATGATGTTTCTCAGAATTCTTGTGTGGACTGCAGTACAGAACATTCAGACAGAGCTCCAGATTCTTCAGAAGAATCTCCAAACTCACACACACTGCCACGGCCAGACCACTTGCCTCTTGATAAGAAAGGACATGTAACATGGTCATTTCATGGACCTGGAAATGCCACCCCTGTGTCTGACTCCTCTGAAGGCAAATCACCAGATAACCATTCTTCTCAGCCTGGAAAAACTGTGAGTTCAACAGCAAGCTCTACAACAGAAGTGGAGGTCCATGAGCTTGTGGATCCCTGTAACAGCTCCCCTGTGTTGGGAGCAACACTCAGCTCTTACCAACCCTCTTCACTCTGATGGTTCAGACTCAGATGAAAGGGACTCGGATGGTGCTGTGGCCAAGAGCAAAACTAGCATTTCAACAGCAAGTGCCACCGTTTCTGCCGCCAGGAGTGCCGAAAGTACTCCCACTAGGAAAGTGTCACCGATGTCCATTGCCAGACAGGATGTGGCAGGAATGCTACGTTCAGGTGCTGAAAAGGTAATATGGTCCAATTCTAGCTCTGTTATTTGCCCATCCTGTTTTATAGTTTAGCTCTGTCCATGTGGTATGATTTCATACTATGCTGAAACCTACAACAAAATTGAGGTGTTTTTTAGATAATGTTTTTTTTGTTTGTTTGTTTTTGTTTTGTTTTGTTTTTCATGTGCATTGGTGTTTTGCCTGCATGTATGTCTGTGTGAGGATATCAGATCCCTTGGAACTGGAGTTACTGACAGCTGTGAGCTGCCATGTGGGTGCCGGAGGTTGAACCTGGGGTTCTCTGGGAAGAACAGCCATGCTCTTAACCACTGAGCCATCACCCCAGCCCCTTAGATAACTTTTTGGGTTTTTTGAAACAGGGTTTCTCTGTACCTTGGAGCCTGTCCTGGAACTCTGTAGACCAGCCTGGCCTCGAACTCACAGAGATCCACCTGCTTCTGTCTCCCGAGTGCTGGGATTAAAGGAGTGTGCCACCAACTCCCAGCTGATAGCATTTTTTTAATAAGCTTATATTTACTGCTACCATGATTTGAACATTGTGTCAGTGGACACTGTGTTTTCCACAGATTGCTTTGGTCTTGTTTTATATAGCTTAGTGCTTTGTATAAGTCAGATTTATCTAACTAAATCATTAGAAATAAACTAGAAGAGTAAAATAATTTGAAGTACCAGGGATACAAATACTGTAGAACTTGCTTAGCCATTACTTTCACCCATACTTCCTTGTAAATATTTAATAGTTCTTTTTCCTATCTTTGACTGCAAAGTAACTTTTTAAAGAACCGGGATTGATATGTAAAATATGATTGTTTCTAAACTAAAGGAAAAAAAAGAACTCTTCACAAATGCTTACAAATAAAGTTGCTTTCAGTCAGAAGTTAGGCCACAACAGACTGGAACTCAGCTAACTAGAAGCACCAGGCCTATGCTTAAGTAACCTGCCTTAAGCAGCCTTTGTCCAGATGACAAGAGTCTCCTTATGTAGGGCAGGCCTGCCTGGAACTAGGCATCCTCCTGCCTCTACCTCCCTTGCACTGGGATTCCAGTTTACATCACCATGCCTGCTGTATAGTACTGGTTCTTTAAGATAAGGGCCCAGAACTTTATCTTTCTGCTTCAATCCACTGTGCTCTGAGATCTGGAAATACATTGCTGTACCTGTCACAAGTAGTTATTTTTCAGGACTAGAGAGATGGTTCAGCTGTCAAGAGCACTGGCTGTTCTTCCCAGAGGCCCCAATTTCATTTTCCAGCACCCAATGGCAGCTCACCACTATCCGTAACTCCGGTTCCAGGGGATCTGACACCCTCACACAAGCATACATGTAGGCAAAACAAAAAAAAAACAAGTACAGGTTTGTTTGGTTTGCTTCGGTTTGCTTTGGTCTTTTGAGACAGGGTTTTCTTCTGTTTAGCATTCCTAGCTGTCCTGAAACTATCTCTCTGTAGACCAGTGTGGCCTCAAACTCCAGAGATTTGCCTTCCTCTGCCTCCCAAGTGCTGAGATTAAAGGTGTGTGCCACCACTGGGCAGGTTGAGTTATTTTTAGTTATTCCTAATCACTTTTCTACCTTGTAGATTGTATCATGAATTATTTACTTTATAGTTAATTAATACTTAATTTGTTACTTGCTTTGTAAAACAATTGACACAGGAAATTAGGGAATTTTGTACTAGAATTTGTTAGTGAATTAACTCAATAATTTTGTAATGATAACCAAAAATAGTATTTGTATAAGTTGACACCTGACAAAAATTTTTTGCCATGATTTCTTATCTTCTCCTTCTTCTTTCCATGGATCCAGGGCCTATATATGCTAAACATTTTTGATTTGAGTCTGGCATCAGGCATGATTTTTTTTTTTTTTCAGACTTGTGTAGAGTGGGCCGCACACACGTATGGTGTGCGAATCCTTTGTAAAATAGTGAAGTCTCTAGTTGTGTAACTTTTGGGGTTGGGGGAGAGGGCTACTGGGAAGTTGACATAGGTCTCTATTATGCTGGGCAAATGCTCTAGCTTGGAGCTCTAGCCCCAATCACAGTACATAATCTCTACAGAAAGTGTGTAGTGTATAAAAGGTCATGTAGAGATGAAAGGAGAAGCATGCAGTTGAAAAGTAAGGGCTGTAATTGGAGAACAACTCTTGACAAGTAATGATCTTCGAGAAAGAACCTGCTAAATGCTTAGCAATGTGCAAGAACTTAGTGCCAGTGTCATGTGTCCTTGCTTGAAATAGCCATCTCCTTAGTGGTAAGTGGACAAGGAGAAACAATGCTTAGTTACTTTCCACCTTCCTGCCCCTTCATTACCCTGGGTATTGAATTGGAACTCTCAACTGAAGGCTATACTTCATGTGTGTGTCACCAACTAAGTAAACATACGAAGGGCTGGCCAACATCAGTGTTTGTTGAAAATTTACTTGATTTTCAGTTGGTTTTTATGCTTTGGCTGTCAAATATGGTAAAACAAGAGAATATCCTGCCAGATTATTATTTTCAAAGACCCAAGGACAAAGCCTGGACAGAATAATAAGAGGTCCTCAGTCTAGTTTATCTGTCCTGCCTAGACCTGAGCACACATGCATAACTGTCTGCTCTTGTTTCCTTTCTTTAACTAGAGGAGAATTCAAGACCTAATACACTGGTTTATCCTGCATCCGTGAGGCTAACGTATGGGGCTTGTTGAATGCATTATCTTTTATAGGGGTTAATTTGGTTTCTGCTGGTGTAAAAACCTTAAAATGTAGAGTCAGATAACACTGTTCACAGTGCTTGGGGTTGTACATAAGTGGTTACTAAACTATTGTAGCTATACTATATCTATTAGAAGGATAAGTTGTTCTTCATATGTTAGTTTAGTTTCTTGAAGTGGGACTCAACTACATTTTTAAATGAGTGAAAATTATAAGGTGAATTGGACAGACTGCATGATGTACTAGAATTTATGAGAGTTAAACAACTGAATCATTTAAGCCTTGGCTAATAAAGTCATCAACTTTCTTTATACACAAAATATCAGCAAGAAACCCAGCAGGCCAGTGGTTTCTTTACTGAATCTAAGATTTTTATCCTCATGGTCCAAAGTCATGTCTTCAGTTTCAGCAAGTTAGAAGGCATTTGCTTTGTACAGTAGCAATGGGTTTGTTCCTACTTTGCTCATTTAAGAGTCTTTGTTTTCAGACAGGGTTTCTCTGTCAAACAGTCCTGGCTGTCCTAGAACTCACTTTGTAGACCAGGCTGGCTGCCTCTAACACAGAGATCCGCCTGCCTCCCAAGTGATGGGACTAAAGCATCGGCACCACCATTGCGTGGCTACTCAGTAAGATTCTTAACTCTCTTCTTCATCATGAATGGAATGGTAATGACTTTTGGAACTAATTCTTTGGTAGTTGGCAAGTGTGTATGTGTTTTGTTTTTGTTTGTTTGTTTTTGTTTTTTGAGCTATCAGAAAAGTTCCCTGTTGTTTCAATGCATTTTGCTATTTTTAATGTCTGAATTTTGTGTTTACTTTAGATGTTGATGTTAGTGAAGAGTTACCTCCTCCCTTACCTGAACGAACTCCTGAATCTTCGTATTAGCAAGTGAGCACAGTGAGTATTTCTTCTACATTGCTGATTTTAATCTAGCAGCTATTATGCTAAGTAGTTAGTATCAAAATTAAGTTTTAGTTAATGTTGACAGCTTTTTTATTAGTCACTTGAAAAACTCTAAGTTGTGTTTTCCCTTGCTAATATGAATTGCATTTATAGTACTCACTGGAAACTACTAAAATTAAAATAAATGCAGTTATGAATTATTTGCATTTAATTATTTTCATTCATTAATGGCAACATGTACTACACTTTTAGTATATGTAAACATTCAAGTTGGGTTGTAGGTGGCGTGTTTATGAAAACAGTTTCTAAAATGTGTAGGATGTGTTTTGTATTGACTTTCAAGGATTTAAGACATTTCAAGAATTAAAAGATAGAATTCTAATGTATTGAGATTTCATTTCCTCAGGTACACCTGTGAGACCTGAATAGAGTGAATCTCCATGTCAGGAGTGGTCTGAACAAGAGAGTCTGAAGTAAGTCACTTGGGGCCTGGAATGGCTCAGGGTTAGCAGCTTTTGCCATTGACATAGCTTACAGTCTAGAGCGTTACCTTGGCTTACTACCTTGGTTCCCCCATTGCTATTGTTGGCCTTGTTTCCTGTTTAGTATTTATTGTTATATTTATTTTATATCCTGACCGCAGGTTCTTCTCCATCCCCACCTCCATTTCTATTCAGAAAAAGGCAGACCTCCCATGGACTCCTTGGGTCACCTTGCCCAGTCTTCATACAAGGGGTGGTGCTTAGCCTTACTACAACTTGATGCCATGCTTTGTTGGTATATATAGTTGACCATTTTTATGAGCATTTCTTAGTTATTGTTATTTTATTTGTTAATTTTTGAGGCAGGGTCTTGTATAGCAAAAGCAAAGCTATGATATGTTCTAAAAAGAACTCCCACAACTTTCATAAGGCCCTTTCTTCAGGCTGACTATTATTTGGTCAAAGGCTTTTTGAAAAATCTATAAATTAGACCATGTCTCAAATCATTTTGGAGAGTATAAACAGTTTTGTGGCTTCTATTACTATACTAGACTTGTGTCTCTATCTTACACAACCATCATAGGTTTGTTTTATATTCATGAAACACTTGGTTGTATTGGTGACTTGTACTCAGGGATACCACAGTTTGAAACAGCACAATAGATGTTTGGTGGGCTACAGCTGTAATTTCCTCTGTTGCATTAGTTCTTAATAGGGAAGGGGCCTGGGTGTGTTTCTTTTGTTTTTATGCAGACTCTTTCCTTTCCAGTATATATCAGTATAGTAATAGCTGCTGAGATGGCTTAGTGGGTCAAGTGGTTGCTGTTAAAACATTAGGACCTAATTTTATTCCAGAACCCTTGTAAAAATCTAGGTGTACCCTTAAACACCTATAACCCCAGCACCCAGTACTATAAAATGAAAGAGACAGGATACGAGCACTGAGCACCCCCTGGCCGTCACAGTGAGAGACTCTGCCACCAAGGAGGTAAGGAAGCGGTAGAGGCAGGATACCCAATGTCATTCTCTCAGCTCTCTACAAAAGGTACATATACCAAACATACACGTACATCAAACTTGCACATACAATAGCACACATGCATACACTTCAACACACACACATCAGCACATGAGGAGAGTTTTCAAATAAAGCATAACAAAATTTCAAGCATAATGAAACAACAATGCTTTCTTTTTCTTTATTGAAAATCAAGATATAAACCAAGCATGATAGTGCATGCCTGTTACCCTAGCACTTTGTGAGATAAAGGAAAAGAAGGTCAAGGATTGAAGGACACCCTTGCCTGTATAGTGTGTTTGAAGCCAGCTTAGGCTGTGTGAGATTCTCTTTCAAAAATAAGTGAATAAAATAACAAAGGTTGAGTTTTTTTTTTTTTTTTTTTTTTTTGATGGACCTAAATTTCGTGGGGTATATACCTATAATTGGTTAAGTATTCTATTTATTGCACATAAGATGAACTTACTGCAATGCTTTTAAATGTCTTTGCAGGGCTTGATAACCTCTGGAAATGGAAAATATGGTAAGCTGCTAGATTAATTTTCCTTTTTAACAATAAACTTTATAGATTGATTTCTATCAAACAGCACATACCGTGTTCCATGCTGAGTTATTTCTATATGGAGATCTCTAAGATAATTTCTTGAGGAAATACAGTTCTGTGATATAATTCTAAGCTGGCTACACCTACAGATATTAT